TGACCTCTGGGTCTGACCCTGGGCTCCTACTCTCCTAATCCTGGCTACCAACTCCTGCTCTGAGCAGTAGGCATGACCAGCCACACCCAGGTCTCTGCCAGGTGGAGCGTCTGAACTGTACATTCGCAGCTATGTTGTAGATGCCAGTCAACAGAAGTGGGACAGTTTTCTTCCCTAGGTCATGGTGGCCTACAGGACTAGTGTGTACCCCTGGGATGACTGCACATCATATAATGTGATGTTTGGGCATGTGACCACCTTCCTAGCAGAATTGCTGGATGGGGTAGCCATGACAGATGAGTTACTAATCCCACAGAGTACCTAGCACTTGACAGGCATCCTCGGCACTGCTGTCCAAGCAATAAAGCCTCACCAGGGCCACCTAGAGAGAGAAGGAGCCCTAAGATTTAAGGGGGACTGCCCAGATATACCAGGAGGGTGAACTGGTTTGGATCCACAGAAGGAAAAGGAGTTTGAGTGCTAAATTGCAGCAAAAGTACAGGGGCTCATACAGACCATCCTGCCTCTTGCAATATTTAATGCAACACTAAGGGCTAAACTGAAGCTGGCTCTGCCCATCTGGTGAATTGTGAGTGGGAGAGGAGAATGCACTGAGACCCTTCCCCACCATTGGTACTACATTAGTGCTGCTGCTGCTGCTACTTGTGCACTCTGAGCCAAGGGGCAGATATTGCTGTTGGGAATGAGTCAAAGAGAATCGAAGGGTGAGGGACACAGGCAGGGGTCTGGTGCATGAAGAAAATGCTGCTTCTGGATGTTCCCCATGAGCACTGTGGTCTCAGGTCAGAGGGGTGAACTCTTGCCAATAATTTCCAGGAATGTTGTGCTGGTCCCTTTGACGCTGCAGCCCCAGGTTAGCTCTTAGTGACCAGCCCCATGTGTTCCTTGTGCTTATGAGGAAGGGAGAACCTGAAACAGAAGCTAAGATGTCACTCGTGAGCCAGTGGGAAATTCAGCCTCTCCAGCTGTGTTAGCTGAGCTGTGGGGCCTGCTTAGCGCACTCTGAAGGCGGAAAGCAGACCCATCCCCCGTGCTGTTGTGCTGGGAGCCTTTATTCCTTCCCTAGCACAACAACTGTGTATTTACGCTGCACGGCCGGGGCTGTCAGTGCCAAGGGGAGATTGCTGCGCTCTGGGAGTTAGTGATGATGCTACAACAACACATGCAATGGCTCAGGCAGAGCCCTCTGATCAGGATCCTGTTGTGAAAGGGTTGGGATCCTTTCTGTGAAATGGGCCCCAAGTCAGACAGGCAGGTGTCACTCAGAGAGGCACTGATGGCCCCTGGTCAGACCACAGTGTATCAGGCAGAGAGCAGCAGAGCAGACAGAGTTAAACTGATTGCCAAGAAAAAAAGTTGCAAGTGTTTAATTTAGCATGTGAGAGGTAAGAGTGGGGGTTGGGGCAGCCTTAACCCACCCTCCCCAGGGAATATTGCTGTCAGCCCCACCTTGAGTTTTGCCCTGTGGTTGGAGATCCACAACGTCCCCGTGCTGCCCATGACTCTGATGCTGAGGGTTAAGACACTGAATTAAAACTGATTCTTATTAGTTTTGTTTTACTCCAGGGCAGCCCTTTGACCCCACCCTCTTCCTCACCCACGCCGTCTCCAATGTCATCTGCTCCATCGTCTTTGGGGACCGGTTTGACTATGAAGATAAGAAATTTGTGACTTTAATAAATCTCATAATGGAAAGTAGAAAGATCCAGCGCTCGCCCTGGACAGAGGTATGTTCAGGGGTTTATTCTATTCTTCTCCTTTGTATTGGGGGAGGGGACAGAAATTTCTTTCTTTAACTATTAATTTTCCATAAACAAGTGTTATTTCAGATTCCCATAATGGTTTCCTTCTCGTTAGGCTGCAGCTACTACCAAACCCAGCCTCAAACTTGTTTCTAAGTATTGTTTAAATTCCCACACAAAACACATCATTAGCTCAGAATTAAATTTGCTTAAGGATATTCACTATCAACATTATCGGTAAAAATCAAGGAAGTTGCCAGTTAAAATGTTAACATCCACACCAATCACATGTCACATGCCTTATCACATAAGCAACATTATAGTGAATGTGATCACATTTCTCACCTCCAAAATAAACTCCTTTTCACTTCCAGCTCACAGCCACTTATCTGCATGCCCCCTTCCTGAAAACCTCACTAAATGTACCAAATGAAGGGCCAAACTGTCTGCTGGCATAACTCATTCGAAATCAATGGAGTTTCATTGGCAGAGAATGTGGGTCTCTTAAATTCGACCTCAGCACGACTAAAGTAAATTTCCCTTTGAAAATCTATAATGTGCTTCCACTTGGCAAGAAAATTTGTGTTCAGAGTTAAGATAGTGCACATCAGTGTGATTTTTCAAGAACAAGATGTGTCTATTGAAGATGGTTTTATTTTGAAAATAATGGAGAGTCTTTTAGCTAATGTAACTGAATGTCACTGAACTTTGTGTGTGGAATATATATGCATTGGGTAATGTGAGTTCGTAAAGTTTTCAAAGTTCTTTAGAATCCATTTAGAAAATAAGATTTCACAAAAGAAGAGTCTGTGCTGCTGTAGTTAAGTCATTTGAGTAAATACTATGAAGGAAGCTTCTCTGCCCAGGAAAACCAAGATGTGTTTTTCTTTCAATCTTTACAGCTGTACAATTTTTTCCCGACTCTCATGCGTTACATCCCTGGGCCTCACCAGAGAATCTTTAAACACTTTGAGGAGTTCAGAAAGTTTGTTTTTGAGAGAGTGGAGATGCACAGAGAGTCCCTGGAGCCCAGCTGCCCTCGAGACTTCATCGATGCTTTCCTCATCAAAATAAAACAGGTAGGTGATAGCCGCAGCCCTTCCCCTTTACTGGGGAGTGGGTTATACATATCAGTGCGATTTATTTGTTAAGGAACAACAGAGTACGTGGCTTTTCAGAAGCCCCTAAAGGGAGACAAGGAAATTATAATATAAAGGGGGAAGCCCTATTCACCTCATTCATGTAAAACCACCTTAGTGAACAGAAATGGCCCAAAGCACTGCAATAATGCTGCTGTAATCTCCAGTACTATGTCCCATTTCTGTAGGATTTGATAACGATGCCAGGTAGGTCACATTTTGGGTAGAAAATGAGACTTCTTTGGCTTCTGACAATAGATCCAACGCTTTTACAATCAATTATCAACCATCTCTACCAAATCTTTCTGCAGGAGCAACACAACAGCCAGTCGGAATTTACCACTGAGAACTTGTTAAGAAGAACATTAGACTTATTCTTTGCTGGAACAGGGACAACCAGTGACACCCTGAAACATGGACTCAAGCTTCTTATGAAATACCCAGAAATAGAAGGTAACAGTGACACACACACAAAATGTCAAGTCTTGGGGAGATGTGAGGAGTGCCTGGCTCTATAGATCAGTAAATGTAGGCAGACCCTCACCCAATAAATCACCAGATACCATCTGGCCTGGTTTGGCAGTGACCTGCGTGACTGCCATGTGGTGGATGTTCTTTGGTTCATGTGAAGTGAGTTGAAGATGTGTTGGGGGACTTTCTTACTCTAGTCCCCTGCAGGCAGAAGTTCTCATCCAAAAAGCACCAGTACAATGGGCATTACTTGTCCCTATATTGGCCATCTGAGGCGAGGATCCAAAGGCTGAATGGGCTGTTGTGACTGAATTCCTCTCTCAAATCCAGATCAGCGTTCAGGTTCTCTGATAAGGGAAGTGTATGTGTATGTCTACACTACAATTAAACATCTGTGGCTGGCCCGGGTCAGCTGGGTCTGGCTCACAGGGCTTGGGCTACGGGGCTGTTTAACTGCGGTGTAGATGTTTTGGCTTGGGGATCCTCTCTCTTCCTGGGGTCCCTGAGCCTTGGCTCCAGCCTGAGCCCTAACGTCTAAACAGCCCCGTAGCCTGAGTCCTGCGAGCCTGAGTCAGCTGACATGGCCAGCCACGGGTGTTTAATTGCAGTGTTTGTAAAAGAGAAGCCTGCACTGCCACGAACCAGGCTGTGTCTGTTCTGTGGGTAACAGATGCTTTCACATTCCAGGGCTGTCAGACGGGCCCCTTTCCCCTGAATGAAGGCAAAGTTGTTTTGCCTTTGGATTTAATGGGCTTATAGAGGACAGGATCATGTAAGGGCTTAAATCAAAGCTCTGCCAGTGCTAAAAAAACAGCTATATCCAGTGCAAAATCCAACTTCATATTAGCAAATGGCCGGGGGCAGGGAGATGCTTTGGGACTCTCTTGCTTAGTAGATATTTAGATGCACTGGTGATAATTTTACATTGTGCTCTAGTTAGTAACAGAACCAGGTATGAACAATATCACTGCCCTGTAATTATATTGTTGGCCCTTTGTCATAGCTGCGAAGTACAGTAGTTTCTGTAACACAAAATTTCACCTGTTTTGTTATATTCCCAATGTCCATCTGCTGAGACTTGTGTTTTGCGGGCAGAGAGACAGACTGTTGGGCAAATCTATGGGAATCCTGTTGTTTAGTCTTCGTGTTAAACCTCATTAATTTGATGACAGAGAAGATTCACGAAGAGATTGACCGTGTGATCGGCCGAAGCCGAAGCCCCTGCATGGCGGACCGAAGCCAGATGCCCTACACAGATGCTGTGGTCCATGAGACCCAGAGATTCATCTCTCTTGCCCCTCTTGGTATCCCACGTGCTGTGACTAGAGACACTCATTTCAGACAATACATTATCCCCAAGGTCAGTTCTGTGTGTTTCTGTGAAAGGGCCAGTTCTTCTGCCTTTTTCTCTTTTTAATTTTGAATTGTTCACAATAGAAATAGTTTGGCCAGTTTTTGTGTGATGGGAGTTTTAAATAATTGCCAGGAATGTACCAATTATATTGAAACTTTCCAAGCCCCTGTATGCAGCTGAACAGACTTTCATAGTCTGCAGGTTAGGGTTTCCATCCAGAAGAGGGTTTGAGAGCCTAGTTGCGAAGCAGTAAGATACGGAATAGAGAACAACTTTAGCAACGATGTGCAGCTAAGATTTTGGTATCACACCAATGCGTGCAATCATTGCCCTCTTTTTTGAGGCCAAAGGGTGGTGTTTCTGGGGAAACTTCTTGACACTGTTCGGTCAAATCAAAACAAAATAGCGCATGCAAATGAGTAATGAATGAATAAGTTTAAAAAGTATCAGAGCTCCCCACACCTTTGCCCATTTCTGGAATTGAATGCAAACCAGTACAGATAAATACACACCACAAAACAAACCACGCTTCAAGGCTGAGGTTTCTGTAAAATTGAGTCGGGCTCTTACTGTTAGTCAGATGATGCCAGTTACTGAACTCAGTTCAGACAGCAAACCAAAAAAAATCAGAAAAAAATATTCATTTAACTTCAGAAAATCTTTGCAATTTGTCAACAAGTTGGAAAAATCTGGTCTACTTCAGAAATCTTGGT